GGCCCTCCCGAGTTTTGGTGTTCTGTTAACTTTCTTTACCTATGAGGAGTTCTGCTCTGTCTTCGATGCAACCAGTGTTTATGTTTCCTTTTTTTTTTTGGTAAACTGTATGTATATCTTAATAAAAATATTTCGAGTAAAAAAAAAAAAAAAAAAGTGCCAACAAGCAATGTGGTCTGATAATGATTTTCAGTTTCCAGAGCCCTGAGCAGTGATTTTCACTTCCACGCGAGGACACCAAAGCTGACCGCCCTTCAGGATTCTCTGCATCTCTTTGATGTTTTAGTTTTATTTTTTGTTCATTTTGTTGCAACACATATCGCTGCATCTATTTTTCTGTGCTGAAAAAAACCACACTGTTTGCATTTTGAGCGAATCAATGCTGGGAGAGCGTCCAGCCCACCCCACGACCCTGAACTGGAGAGGCAGTTAGAAAACAAAAAAAGGATGGATGAATTGTTTCATTGCTGTTTTTGTACCATTTTCAATTAAACTCAGGGTTTATAGAATTTGCAGATGATTGCATTCTGCTTTGATCCACATTTTACACAGAGCACCAACCTTTTTGGAAACTGGGTTGATGTTGGAAAAACACTGTAAAGAACAAATAATGCATCAGAAATTTATTTTAATTATCTTTTAAAAGTCAGAAAATTACAGATAAGTCCACAAAATATTAGCGGACAATGTTTTTCCTTTTTCGTGAACTATTAGATTCATTGTGTCCACACTGATTTAGTGGAATTATTCATCTGGTGCTAACTGTGATGAAGTCCTGGCATGCAAATATGGAAAGAGTTGCCGCAGAAACAGCAGGGACTTTGGCGACTGTGTCCTTACAACTTAAAAACATGTTCGTGTATGATTCTTATGTGCATTTAAATCCAAACAATTATCTAATTATCAAAAAAAAGCCCCATTTACAGGATTTGTTTTTCCATCTTGTCCCTCTTGGGGAGATATATGTTACAACAGCATGCACACACTCACACACCTCCTCTTAACCTCTCTTCACATCTGAACAGTCACAAAGAGACACATTTACGCAGCCCATGCTGTGGCAGGCCTCAGGCCTCACTGCTGGCTGTGTTCATTCAGCAGGATACACTGCGGGCTCTGTGTGGCGCTCTATGAAGCCTTGTGTGTGTGTGTGTTGCACAGAGAGAGGAGATGGATGCATGGAACCTCGCTATGGCTTTAAGAGCAGATTAAGAACACCGTATTTGTTTAAAAAAACATAGACCCAGTCTTTGCTTCCAAACCATAAAGGAAGGCAAAATGTTAGTGTAGTGCTTGGGAGCGGAAAATTCTGTTGACTGAGAGTCAATAAGTGTGTGAAGTGTTTGAAATCCTTCCTGGCAAACTATGGAATCATTTTATATTGGTTTGGGAATAGCAATACATGAATGTGAAGATAAAATATCAACTGAGGCCACAGTTACACAGTGTCATATATTCTTTTAATATCATGATTTAAGTGTAACGATATTCTTGTTTTGTTATTCTTGGCCGGACAGACAGACTACTGGGACACTATTTAAACATCACCTAAACTCTCTACTAAAAACAACAACCGACTTTGGTGAAATGAATAAATACTCTCTAGTCTAACTTTACAGTAACTGTCATCAGGTATGACACAATACACCTGAAGCTAGCCACTGCATAACAAATGCTTTATCCAAATTCTTCAAAACTGTTATCTTTATACAGTTAAAGCAGATAAAAGCAATACAGAGAATATTTTCTGATGATCCAGCGCTTTCTAAAACTCAAAGTGCACTCAGTGAAAAATAAAGAGTTTCTAATGAGCAGAAGCCTGAGTCACCGGGAATGTGACGGCAGAAGGCGGACAGAGCGTGGAGATGTTTTTGGCAGAAGCGAGCTGGCACAAGGGCAATAAAAATAAATTTGTTGAGACTAACAAGAGCGTAGCCGCTTCTGCCGCTGCTTTTTCAGACACTTTCATTTGTCAGATATACGGCCTGGAGGCCAGGCCCTCTGCTTGTCTTTGGAAAGTGTGAAAATGGCAGAGGTGGTGGTCAATTTTTAGACTTTTTACTGTGTTTTGCACCAGGAAGCATTGTGTTCCAAGACATTAAGACAGCAGCTGTCAAAATCCGGTGCAGAGGTGTGATACAACATCAATTTAACAGCCTTCATGACATTACCCATGGCCTGCTGTGCCACTGGAAGGATGTTAAAACATGTCAAAGTCACGGAGGCATGTCAGTGCTTCTCTGACTTTCAACAGCAGCTCTTTTTCTAAGTGGAAAAAAACGACTTTGCACACTAAGACACCTCCAGCTGTTCATCGTATGTGTTGTGAGGATGAATCCTGAAATGCTATGGTGTTTACACTGCAAAAACTCAAAATCTTACCAAGTATATTTGTCTCAATTTCTATTCAAAATATCTCATCACACTGGAAAAAAGACACAATCAGCTACAGAGTGACATTTCAGTGAGATATGGGAACTTGTTTTTAGTGCATCTTGGATCTGGAGAAACATCACTTGTTCCATCGGCAGATTTTTTTTCACTTATTTCAAGCAAAAATATCTTGTATAAGTGAAAAAAATGATTAATTTAATTCTATTATCTAGATATTTAGAAATATCTGAAGCAGCATTGTACTCTCAGAAAACATCAAAGATCACAGGTAAAATGCTGACCTTACTTTGACTGCTGCAAAGGAGACCAGGTCAGGTCACATTACTGCATGTAAAGGAGGCAGGAGGAGGCCAAACTACTTGTCAAGCTAATGAAATCTTCATTCATATAAATGTACATGAAATTACCATCAAATCTGACTTTTTCTCCATAATTTACGCCAAAGCCAATATGGCCGCTTTTGACAACGCACTTTAGATTTAAAGACTAAAGAACATGAGCAAACGTGTGTGTTGCCTGTTAGATAAAATAAGTGTAACACCTCTGGTCAACACATTAAAAGGTTATCAAAATGATCCTGGTTCTATGATAGACGTTACTTGGAATTACAGCTTGAATGACTGATGGTGATTATACTATAAACAATATAATCAATATAAACATAAAAAACAACATTATGGCATTTCAGACATGACAAACACAAGCGGTTAAATAGTTTACATGGAAATAACAGGACATGGAAAGGTACAGTGCTATTACTGCTAACATTAATATAATTAATAAAACTGCAAAAATGTGAAGAGGGCGCAAACGCCTTCGCTGTCGCTACAAAACAAACATCCATTTAATGCACGCTGGTATTTCCTAATGAAATAAGTGAAAAATGTCACAGTATAGGATGTTCAAAACATCAGTAACAACTAGTTATTGATTACTCACACCTACTGACAAAGGATGGAGTCTGCTGGTTAAAGTCTACAATACTTAAACAAATTCAGATAAAAAAAAAGCAACAATAATTTAAAAACAATTCGATAATTTAAAGCAATTCAGTTATTGAAGCATTTATTTTCAGGTTATTCACAACATTCATGCTTCAAACCTGCAGCAAAGGTTTACTTGTTTTTTTGGTGTAAAAGTGTTGCTACATAGCAGAACACTGCACCACCATCACACCACAGTCTGCTGAATCTTTAAATTTCAAGCTGAATCTTTTTGCAGTTAAACTGTTTCTAGGATTAAAAAGACAAATCAAATGCAAAGTTGCATCAGTCTACCAAACCTTAAGGCTCACCTTCACTATTCCTGCTATTTTTAATTGCACTATGAAATGAGGTTATGGCTCCCTGGAAACGTTTGTTATTGTCCTAAGGCCTTCTCCTGCGTGGGAACCAACAAATATTTTAATTTCCAAAGGTTTAGGCAGCCGCGTAGAGAACTCAGTGACTGTGGGTTGCTGGGACAAGGTTTCGGGAAACAGAGTATTTATGAAGCTTTGAAATTTGAATCACCTCCCTAAAAATAATTAGAGTTAAATTAACTGAGGTTAAAGGTGCTTTTTGGACACTTACATTTTTAAAAAGAGAGAGGGAGAGAGAATAAAAAAATAATCTTGCTTTAAGGCTGAAAACAATGTCAGCTTTTACTCGGCTGTCTTTAGTAAGACTAAACACAGTAAAATGTTAAGGCATGCTACTGTACAGCCACAGCGTAGAGCAGGAGGCAAAGTAGGCCAGCAAAACATAGAAGGCTTCCAGTCCCACTGTTTTTAATAAACAGTGGTTAAAGTACTTTTAATAAAGTAAGACTGTTAAGCATCTGCCTAACGTTTCATCTGATTCCTGTCGACACCCACATCTGGATAACTTTACAGATGTGGGTATCTTTAGACTTATTTGTTGATTCTCAGTAGACCATCTAAAAACTAATACAAATGAAAGACAACAATCAACATTAGATTAAAACAGCATTCGGCTGTCACCGGTGTCACCACATAAGCAATGTACCAACAAGCTGTCATGTCACCATGACGAAAAAAAACTCCACTACAGAACATGTCAACAGCAACTGTATTTAACCTGAGAGCAAAGAGGGCAAGAAGAAGCGATTTAGACTATTTTGAACCCTTTGGCTTTTTCCAGCACTCATTACCAGGGCGGCGAGACACACAAGCATCTCACTGTACAGATATATCTGTGTGTGTGTTTGCTTTCTGGCAGTGCTACAAAATATTAAAGAGAAAGAGCAAGGGGAAAGAGGGAGAGGAGGAGAAAAACTTTAATACTGCGGTGTATTCTGTACTAATAAGCTGTCTGGGCTTCTGTGGGAAACTGTGTGTGTGTTCACTTTAATATAGCTTGTCTGACCGGTGTAAGCTTTGCCATGCACTTCTGTGTGCTTCTCCAAGGCTTCATGTTTGACTGAGAGCTTTCTTCGAATGTGCTGCATGTTATTTCATTTTTATATTGTGCACGGTGCAGCTGTGAGACAAATCTTCACATCTGTGGTGTGACTGCTTTGCGATGTGCTTTTCAGGTCATTTCTGTGCGATTACCTTTACCCTTGTGCATGTGTGCACGTGCTTGAGAGATAAAGGCAGGACTCACTGTCTGCTGCCGTGCTGCCGTTGGGCAGCGAGCCCAGATCAACAACCATGCCGTCCAGACAGACGTTGAGCTCGCCTCCTGCTACAACCGAGCCTTTGTTCTCCGTCTGCAGCACCAGACTCAGCTGGACGTTCTCCACTAGAGAGTGGAAGAATGACAGACAAACAGAGAAAGAGGGGATGAGTGACTGAGAAGGCAGAGGGACAAAGGAAAATGGATATCCTCTGTTATTGCTCTAACAGAGGAAAACAGCGTGAAGTCACCGAATACCAAAAGGATTGTTTTCCAAAGATGTCGTCCCCCATTTCACTTGGAAAATATTCTGCATGTTAACAGATATACAGAAGGTCTGACTGATCCCCTCACACGTCCAGTGTGTAAAGTTGTTTTTAATTGCAGTATTTACATGAAGTAAGTCGTCTAGCTGCCAGATTAAGTTCCACACTGCACATATGCACTGAATCTGCCCACAGCTTCCTGCTGGGCTCAGAGGCTTTGCTTTCACATCCACTTTGTTTTTGGTTTTGGGGGGTTTTAAATGCTCAAACCATTTCACAGTTAGAGAGGTAAGACTAACATGGTTTGGACATGAGGAGAAAAAGAGAAAGATCTCAGAGGAAGTTCATGGATGTATGAAAGGAGGACATGCAGAGTGGTTGGTGTGACAGCGGAGGATGCTAGGGATGAAGGAAAAAAAACATCCTGCTTTAAATGTTTCTCTAAGATATTTAAGTTAAAGTTATATATTGCAGCTTTATTTCATTTTAAATTAGATGAAGGGTTCAGGCTTTAAGAATTAAAGCTCTTGAGCATGTACCGCTCCCTTTTTTAAAGGACAGGTGTGACATTTCTTCATCATTGACCCTGTGCACGAGAAAATGCTAACTTCCTGGTTTGAGACCGGATGTGGGGTTGTACATTACTTTGCGGTCAATCGCTACTGCGAAGATATACTCCAAAATCATGTCCAAAACTCGAAAACGGAAAGATCACGTTAAGTTACAAAGAGGAGAAGGTGGGAACACTCACCGCTGTTGTGTCATAAAAAATCTAATGATCAATTTTGACGTTTAAAGCGTTTAGATCGATCAGTTGCTTACATCACTCAACACAAGCAGAACTGCATCACTGCAGCAGAAGACACATCGTCCACATTCAGAAGCACATCTCTGTATAGTGACTGGTCTTATGATTTAAACAGGCAAATGTAAATCGCCGCTTGATTCATTCATTTGCTTAACTTGCTTTGGACCGTAAACAGGGCGCGAATAGGACACCGGAAACAAAGCTCCCCACAGGAGTTTCCGCACCGGAAGTAGCATATGCTAACACACACATAGTCAATAGAGCTTCCATCGTATCTGGAAGCCGTCGCTGTGAATCCAAAACACAGCTGCAGTTGAAGTACAACTCAAAAACCGTTAATCCTCAGACTTTAAAAATAAATCCATCGGATATAACAGGAACACTAGTTTAACAGGAACATCGGTGGACACAATAAGGAGCTTGGCAACATGAAGACCCTGACATCCAAAGAAAAGAGAAACGTGGTGCATAATCACAGGATCCTTTTTACGGTAAAAGGTCTTCAGAACACGTAGCCAAGCACACAACACTCTCCAGGAGGAAGGCTTAATACCATCTACACTTAAGATAAAGACCGGGATGGGAAGTAGGCAGTAAACAAGTGTCTATCAGGCTCTCAAACACATATGCCAAATTAGACTTTGCCTAAAAATTGTCTACAAAGTTCTCTGTACAGATGAAAGCACGACAAAGCACCTAAACTAAAAATGTTTTTATAAATATTTTCATTTGTTCAATTACATCTAAGAAGACCATGTATAAGATATAAAATGTCTGTAATAATGTGTCCTTTGATATTTTTGTTAGAGAGTGGGTACATCTTTTAAGATGAGTAGCAAAGGGAAGTTCACTCTCTTCAGCTTGAATGTGCAGGCTCAAGCAGGAGACGCCTAAGGCCATTGCATCCTAGTGCTCAACCTACCCCAATACAGGATAAGAGATCAAGATAAGCAAGATCCATCCAGTATGGCACCATCTTAGACATACTTACATTACAGTCTTATAACTCTAAGACTCGTCTGACTCAGTCAAATATGCAAGGGTAAAGAATATTAAACGCTTACAGAGGAGTTATTTAGCAGTAACCATCAAGCCAAAAGTTACAGAACACTGAAATCTTTTCCGAGGAGTTCATAACAAAGTTAAGTTAAGCTTAGCTGGCAATGTGCCACCATCACTGAGGCTACTGAAAAGGTTTGAGACATCCAATCAGTGTTACTGTTCAGTTTAAGTGTGAATATCAAATAAAACTCTCTGTCTCAGCACTGTTAACAACAGTTATGCACATTTTTACTTTGAAAGTAAAAAGAAAATTCAGGTGTTGCGCCAGTTATACATCTGCATGCCTTACCTCACTAAGTGCCTCTGAGTGGATGAAAACCACAAGCATGTGAACAAAGCTCTGGCACCCTTGGTGTTAGTTAGCACATCGTTCTTTAAAAGAAACAACTTATTCTGTAAGCTTGAGTACTTTCAGTTTTTTGCCAAATCTGCTGGTGATAAAGAAAGTTTTTTATTAGTATAGTGAGCTTCTGTCAAAGTGGGTTAAGATAAGCTGCAACAGCCTGATTAAAATAACTGACAAGTAACTATCAGAACTTCCAATGCTACAAAGAAAAGTAAGAAAAATTTAAATTCTATATATTCCTTGCAAGGCCTCGGCCACTGCGTGTAATTTTTAAGGTTATTTGATCTAATCTAACTAATGCACATGGATTTGGAGTCGGCATTTTAGTCTCAGCAGCCTCTCTCTGACCGTGTCTGCCGTGTATTTACAGCAATATTTTCGAATTTCCTTCATAGATGGTTGGTCGTGGCTTACATGATGATGTGATGAAGTCTCTGGAAGACACAGAACCTTTCTGTATATGAATGTATATGTCCTGTATACAGACTTTAAATTCCTTATACTGCTAATAATTTTGGTTACACGAAAGCAAACATTGTTTGGGTATGCTGCATATCATCAGAGTAATTCTGACAGTTCCAAAGAGGCTTTGGAAATTCACCAGGACTGTAATAAAAATGCCCAAGTGCAATTTTTAGGTAATTTTATTTACTCAAAGTAATATAGAGAAAATTTATTAAAAAGAATTTTTTTTTTTATCATCAAATAGCCAGGAAAAAAACAACGAGGAAAAACGCACAAACCTCTGTTAAGTAAGGTAGAGAAACACGTACAGCGAAATTGTGCTCGACATGCATGGTGACTCCAAACTGTGTGTGGGTGTTTGTGTGCGTTTTTTTCTTACTCTTGCCATCGTGCGAGCGCAGCGTGTCCAGCAGGTCTATGGTTGCGCTGCCCAGTAGCTCCTTTCTCAGGGTGTGGCAGCTCCACAGCTTTAGATCCAGATGACTCTGTGGCGTCACATTACTGCAAAACGGCATGAAAAATACATCAGCTACAAATGCTTCTGCTTACAGCAGCTGCATTTTATTATTGCATCCTGCTCTTCATCGCCTTTAGCGACGGTACGCAAGTTCTACCTCAGACAAAATGCTTTAAATAAGCTGACGGGAAACAAGTACAAAATCTCGATTAAATTTTATCTGTGTTAGAGCGCTACCACGACAGCAGTACAGTCCAAACACTGTCAGATGCATGCAGTTAATTTAATGTTCTATTGAATTGTTTTAACAATAAAACCCTGGCTCTCATGAGAGCCCGAGTGTGTGTGGTGCTCACTCACAGGGTGAGGTCTTCGTTCCACTGCAGCTCAAGGTGCCCGCTACGTTTGCCTGTTTTTTTGGTTTCACTGGTGAGGCCGTCTGCAGTCACCTCAACGAAGGAGCTCAGCCGAGAGTGCCGGTTCGGCAGCTTTGGGGACTGGGGCTTCGCCGACACCACTGCAAACACACACACGCATAAAGCATGTATCGTAGTGGAAGAACACATCTGTGGTTGTGACAAAACCTCTGCCAGCAGTGCTGTCATTTATGGCAACAAAGGACAATAAATGTTAACAAAAGAGAAGCATTTCTTTTTTTCATTGAGGTTTAACTGACTGCAGCTCTGGTAAGAAAGAGTCGGAGCTGATCAGATCCTCACGTGGAAAACGACAGTCTAATCACACTAAAGAATTTTAGTTCAGAATCAGAACACTTTATCAATCCCTGCGGAAATTATGTGGTCACAGTTACTCCAAGACAGCAAGAACAGCAACTACCTGAATTATATTAAATAATAAAATATATTGCAAAGTTACAAGATGTAACAAAATAGCTTACAAATAGTTCTAATATTATAATAATAGTTCTAATAAACAAATATTCCAGTACATTACAAAAAACTAAATATGACACTGAGACGGCCTTCTTACTATACCGACATCCTCTGTAAAGGATGTTCAGATCGTTAGGGTGTGTGCACTGTATGCTGTGCATTAGATGGAGGAACTGAACAACAGGAATGACTTCCTGTGTCGTTCGGTGATACATCTGGGCCTCACTGAACAGCTCCTGTGACTCGCCAACAGTGGGTGAGTGGGATTGTCCAGCATTGTCCTTTTCTTGGACAACATCCGCCTCTCTGACAACACCTTAAGGGAGTCCATCTCCATCTCCACAATGTTACTGCCCTTGTGGATCAGTTCATTGAGCCTGTTAGCATCCGTGACCCTCAGCCTGCTGTCCCAGCATGCAACAGCATAGAGGATGGCACTAGCCACAACAGACTCGTGTAAAATCCAGAGCGTGTCCAACAGATGAGAAAAGGCCCCGGACAATACAGACGGCTCTGACCCTTCCTGTAGAGTGCAGTGGCGTTTTTATTGTCACTGTGTAATACAAGGCAACACCCTTCTTTTTAAATCAGACTGACTGGTGATTGTATATATGCAGTTTCTTCATCCAGGTGACCATGGTAACTAAAGCTAATGCAGCAATGCTTCCAAAATAACTGGCCAAATAAGTCTTTGTAGGAGTGTTAAGATGGCTGCCAAGAGGCGATGTGTACATCAATCACTCAATTTTACTGGATAAATTGGAAAGATATGGTATTCGAGGGAAAGCTGGTAACTGGTTAAAAAGTTACCTAACAGGTCGGGAACAATATGTTAGCATAGGGCATTACCATTCAGAGAAACTTGGTATTACATGTGGTGTTCCCCAAGGGTCAGTGTTGGGACCAAAACTTTTCAATGTATACATAAATGATATTTTTGATGTTTCTCAAGTACTTAAACTCATACTGTTCGCAGATGACACCAACATATTTTTCAGTAGCGATGATTATACTGATCTTGTAATGACTGTAAACAGGGAGCTAAAATTAATAAAAAAAATGGATGGACATAAATAAATTATCATTAAATATAAATAAAACTAAAGCAATGTTTTTTGGTAATTTAAAATATAATATAGAATTACCAATTATCATTGAAGGTGTACCAATTGATAATGTGAGTGAAAACAAATTTTTGGGAGTTATAATTGATAACAAAATTTCATGGAAACCCCACGTCAGACACATAAAAACCAAAATTTCCAGAAGCCTCGCAGTTTTGAACAAAGTGAAACAATTCCTTGATAAAGATGCACTTCGTACTCTGTACTGTACCCTGGTTCTTCCATATCTTACATATTGTGTGGAAGTGTGGGGAAATACATATAAAAATACAACTAATCCATTAGTCACAGTACAGAAACGAGCACTGCGTATTATTCACAAGGCTGGTTATCTAGATCATACTCACAAATTCTTTCTTCAGGCAAAGTTACTTAAATTCCAGGATCTGGTTAATTACAATACATCCATAATTTTGTATAAAGCTTTTACTAAACTTTTACCGGCAAATTTACAAACTAGATTTGAAATTCGAGAAAAGGTTTATAATGTGAGAGGCTTTGGAGAATTCAAATTACCCAGAACTCGAACAACCCGTAAAGGTTTTTGTGTGTCTGTATGTGGTGTGAAAATCTGGAACAGTCTGAGTTTACAATTGAAACAATGCAAAAATATTCATAGATTTAAATTTCTCTACAAACAGTTGGTCTGGTCACAGTATACTCAATGATGGTTTTTTAGTGTGCTCTGTAATGTCTGTTCTCTTACCATTGCTGGTATGGATTCCAAAATAAAAAATAAAAAATAAAGTGTGCGTATGTATGTACATATATGTACTTGTGTGTGTAGATATATATGTATGTATATGTATGTGTGTCTGTTACTTGTAGTTATTACTGCCTGTTACCTGTGGTAATGCAATTTATAATTTATATATTCTGTATTCAGTTATGAAGGCTCTAATTGTTGGTTGCGAGCTGCCGCTTAGATGCTTGTATGTGCCCGGAGCTGTTGATGGGTCTGTATGCAATGATGGGCGTAGCTGCGGGAAGTTTATTGTTTTTTTTTGTTGATGAGTGAGTATAGGGGTGGGATTTAATAAGTTTTCTTCGTCCCACTCCTTTTTCAGGCAAGTTTTGTTTTTTGTTTTGTGTATTTTATGTTCAATATAGGTATTTGTTGTGCCTGAAAATGAACAAATAAATGAATGAATGAATAGGATTCTGGATCCTGATTTTTATGAGATTGTTTTCTATTTATTATGTAATAATGTGAAGCAGCGCGGTGTACACTACCGTTCATTTTAGGTCACCTGGAACGGCTGGAGTTAAAAGTTAAATAAGTCGTTCAGTAAATTGGACAAATGTTACAGCGTACTGCAACACCCTAACAGAAACTCCTTGGACTGTGTGTACTCCTGCATGTATACTGGCTGTTGTGAGTATTTTGTTACACGCTGTGTGCCACGGCCTGTTCAGGATGGATTTGAAGTACACGGAGTGTATCAGACAAATACAAACTTTGCCCTCTAGTGGAAGAAAGGAAACCACCTTCATTTATTTAATTTTTATTTATTTAATAAAACGTATTTAATTTATTTAATTTTGGGGGGAAAAAGAATTGACTGACCACAATAAAGCCTTCATGTTAAAAAAAAAAAATACAAACAAAAAACATTGCACTGTTTACTTATGCTCCATTTAAGGTAGAATGAATATTTGAAAGTAAAGAAACTTTTTGCATCCACTGATTTCAAGCTTTTTTGTTCTCTTTTTTTTTTTTTTTTTCATTTGGAGTGGGGTAAAAGTGTACATCCGGACATTGGCAAGCTCAGAGGCTTGGAATTCTTGCAGGCCTGCTGAGACTCTTGTTATCGCATGTATCAGTCCTCAGAGGAGCTGATTTCTTCACACTGAATCACAAAATCACAAGATTGCAAACTGAAGAACATGCTGACTAGCAGCGTGTCGCAGAGGGCCTCTGATCAGGACTACCGACTGAAAGAATAAATGTGACAGATTAAGATTAAAAAAAAAAAACAGAGGGGTTTCCATCTGTACTTTTTCCTTTGCAGTGAGACCTTAGCAGATCCACACTGGCAGCAACATGTTGATGACCTCAGATCTTCTGAACATCTGGCATAATAGAACATGACTCATGTGAAGTTCTCTAGAAACAGGGAGGAAGTGACACGGGGAGGTGGGAGGTGTGCCAGAAATGGAAGAACTGAAGTAAGTTTCAACAGTGTGGGAGGATGTGGGAGGAGGTGGGAGAGGTGGAGGAGTGGTAGACAGCCTTTGAGAGCAGATCAGTAAATAAAAAGGTGAGTCAGTGTTCATATGATCAAACCTATGGTTATGACTCTGGTGCAGTTCAAAGACATAATTAAGGAAAAAAGTTCTGATGAACTTTTTTTCGTCTCTTTAAAGATAAGGGGCAAGAAAATTCATTTTATTCCCGGCAGACTCAAGTGATTCATGCAAAAACAAAAAGTGAGTCAATCACCTTATAGCTTCATGTTAAAATATTACAGCATAGTACAAAGAAAGATTTATAGAGGTGGAGTTATCTGATGCATGGACGCTAGTTTCAATCAGTAAAAAAAAAGAAACAAAAATGCTAAGCTATGCCTGACTTGAAATTTTGATTCAGATCTGCCAATCAGGAAGCTCTACAGAGGTACGTCATTTCTTTATTATCCAGAAGGAGAAGGCAGAAGGTGTCGGCTATCCAGCAGTTCAACATGAACACAGTGACTCCATATCCATGCAGTTATCACTGAAGCCATTCAAAGCTCACACACCTGGCGCCAGTTTGTTCATACTGATGCTGTCACTACCTAAGTTTGCATTTGCACCATCTGTTTACAGGTAACGACAAAACAACAGCTCTCATTAGCAAAGCTAACTCGAAAGTTCGAGTTACGGATGGGTTTTCTTTTTCTCAGTGGTGGAGACACAGTCTTTTGTTCAATATTTATTAACAAAAGACTGTGCATTACACAGTTTATGAATGCATGCCTGAACACCAAACTGCTAACGACGGGCTCTAAAACAAACTAACCTAAACATGCAGACTTCAAAACGCTCAGGTCATATATCCTTATATCAGGTCTATGATGCAAACTCATATTAAAAGGTAAGAAATACTGTTACTGTGATGTTTTCATCCTTTTGACCATTTCAAGTGTTGGATGATTAAACCAAGCAGGACTCTCAGGCTTGGATTAGACTCACTGTACGACACTGTTCTCAACTAAATCGATTTTTGGAACGACATTGAATGACGTCTCAAACACATGAACTAAACCTTTTGAAAATTAACACAGAAAAAAACTGTTTTAGAAAAAAAATCTCTGCATTGACACAGTTACTATGGTAACTTATGCTGGACACACGACCAATGAAATCTCTCAGCACTGAGCCTGAAACAGAAAGTCTGGAGCCGTAAACAAGGTTGTGTTGTAGGTAGCACACTCATCTGGTCACCTTAACCTCCAGTGAAAAACCACCAAAACCTCAAATCAAAATCTTTTATGTGCAATTTGAAAGTCGCATTAAAACCCCTGCAGCTCTGCTGAAGCTGCGAGCCCTCCTGCTGCCTCAGTCGTTAGAGATAAGAACATAAAAAGTCTATCACAGCCATCTATAGTGAATCTTTTTTGTTTCCTGACTCCTCCATTAATTAATAAAATTCACTCAAGTGAACATGATCTATAAGCAAAAGGCTTCCTCTATTCTCCAAGCTAGTGTCAGGTCATCATTTGGCTCTGTTTCTCCTGGGTTAATGCATAAAACTAACAAAACATCACCATCTGTGGGAGATCACTGTCATTCTGCAGGTTAAAGTGCACCGTATCTATATTTTCCTTGATTATCGCAAGTACAGATCAGGATTTTAAATATGTGATATTTTCAATTGCAAATCGGATTTGTGAAAATGAAAATCCATCAGTAGATGTGGCATTTACATTGATGCATGCGCCAGCTGCGATGTAGGTGTTCAGCTGATGAGCTGAGAGGTGTTAGACTGCATAACTGCCTGGATGGATTGAAATTATTTATTTAAACCACGGAGGGAAAATGCTGCAGTGCAAGGTAAATTCATCCAACGAACCAAGGTGTGAGCTAAGTGAACTTTAAACTTTGCGGATCCTGGTCTTTACATTTTATCAAACAGTCAAACAAACTAAAAAGGAGAGAAACCTGAGGGTGTCTGGATTGTTCCCCTCATTTCCTGTTTTATTTTCTAACAGCTGTTTGTCTTCACCTTTAGTTATTTCTATTTCCGCCTCTTCTCCAACAGCGAATTACACACCTACACACCTACAGGTAAAACCCCCAGTTTCCCTTTCTTTCTTGCCAGGTCACCTTTGTACTTCTGGCAGTTAACACCTCTGGGCACATCTCCGGTTTTCCAGGTAAAGTTTTTCCTCTTTGTGGTTTGTTTGAGTGTTTCTCTGTTTAAATTTTTGCCTTTTGTGTTTACATTGTGCTGAACCCTGGACTGACATGAAGTTGGGGACTTTTTGGACCTAACTTTGCCATCTTGCAGTTGGATCTTCATCTCTGTACTGAATCCTGGCAAGAAGATAATATTGCATTACATTAAGAATGAAAATCCTCCTTTATCTCGCTTTATAAGTCAACGTTTATGTCAGGTAGCGACCAACGCTGCTTTTCTCAAGTCAGCAAGCTAAAAAAAAACCAAATATTTGTTTGCACAACAACAAGTACAGCCCCGCGTCACTAAACTGGCCCCTCCAAAGCTGGTCGCAGCTCATCATTCATGGTTTCACAACCAAAGCAGCACTACTTCAAACAGAAAGGACATAGTCACATTATGAAATATGTTTATGGGTAATAACATATTGTCTTATGCTTGGAGAAGGGATAGCCAGATAAAGAGATTAAAAAAAAACAGAAGTACCTGTACCACACTTCTGTTTGCGGTATCAACATTTTGTCTGTGTGAGCAATAAAGTAGAAAAAAAAATTACCTTTCAAGGTCAACTGAGACTTCTCAGTGGTCTGGGCACTGCCAGGTCTGCTCACGCTGGCAGCTGCCATGACATCACAGCTCTGTAACACAATCACAAACACACAAAATATTACAGTATACTGTCACTGCCTTCCAATCAGGTGTGTGTTGGGTGATACAGCTCTTCTATGCAAAAAATATTGTGGTGGAGGCAGAATTTTACTGCATTAGATGGTAAATCTGGAGCAAGAGGTGGATGACATAGCTTGATTTATGTGCAGTGTCTTGAACGACAATCTTGAAAGCAACGCAAGTTGTCTCATATTATTTTAACGTCACCAGCAGAACATAACCCCTCCTTCAGACAGAAAAGCATAAAACTCCCACCACACTGCACCTCCAGTCCTTAAACACTCACTCCAGGGGAGTGATAAGTGACGTTGTCTAAGCACATTTCGCAGCATTAGAGAGAAAGCTAGCTGGGATAACCTAATTCAACGGGGCAAAACATCATGACATGCAATCACGCATCACTTATAACTGCACAGTTACAAAACTCCCACAAGCAGAAGGGAATTCTGAGTCTTTTAAATGACTGGAGAGGTCGTATCACTACATTCACCGGCAGCAGAGAGAGACACGGGATGAACAGGATAAAGAAGCAGCAGAACACAGGTGGCGCTACCCCACCCACAGCAACAGGTACCAGGTGGTGATAGTAACGGGTGTTTTTCCTCAAGACATGACAATTTATGCCAAAACATCTGGAAGAAAACATCCAAATGGAGTTTGTTTCAAAGCAGCTGTGCAAACATTAAGGCCAATGAGCCCGACCGATGTTTACTTTAAAAACTGTGGCGTTAGATTCAAGTCAAAAGCAGGACTCAATGATTTCCACAGCCAAATATCCACCTTCTCTTAACACAGCAAAAAGCTTATTTATTGCTTTAGTTATTTTATTATTATATTATTTTTATGGTCACATTAAAACACTTAAAAACAGATGTTACACATACTTAACTCAGCAGTCAGCTCAGATATGTTAATGACCACCCAAGCATACACACCGACTTGTTTCAGCATTTTCTAGTATAACGCTTCCCCCACTAACTGGCTCAGACTTCACTGCCATTCAGCTGTTCCCACAAAAAGGATCTCTCGCTACAGGTCTGCTGCTCTCTCCTGAACTCCACCTGGCAAAGGTAGTTCTACTGCTGTAAAGATCTGCTGAAGGGCCACTTTAACCACAAGCTACACCCTACAGCTCACCAAGCCTACAGAGCAAACAGGGCCTGCCGTCTCCAGCTCCAGTCCAAGATAGTGGAGGTGAATCTCAATTGAGGCAGCCCATTTTATCACTCTGTTTAGGGATTAGGGAAACTGCTTTTTGTAAGCACATGTACACACTCAGATTCCCCTCTATGCCACAAACAGAAATCAGTAGGACACTATATTCTGGCAGAAGCCACAAGACACTTTAAAACTATACAAAAGGGCCACTCATGCAAAAATAATATAGAGTGAGACATCTAGACTCTTGCTGGTTGAGTGTGCATACTTGTTCTCCACTCTGATCACACTGCCAGAAACACTAAATCAGAGCGCATTCACTGGGAATTCAGCTGTATTTAAACATATATATGAACTCAGACATCAGGAGGGAAGATCCACAGACCCAGTAAGGAGTCCTCTCATATCATTATCATGAATGAACAGCTTATACAGGCACATGTTTGCACAATTCATGGATGCTGTAATAATGTTCACTTACCCTGGTGTGATTACAAACCTTGTTCCACTATTGTAACTAAACCAGATTGTTTTCATGTACATGCAGATTGCAAGGGCTTTAACAACACTCAGGAAATTAAAGGGTGAATCACTATATTATTTATAGGCGAGATTACCTACCCCAAGTTGGAGCTTGTCTGAACTATTTTGTACACTCTGTGTGATCTGTAAGACACTAACTACTTATCACAACACTGGAGTACAAGGTATATAAAGCTGATTAAAGGTGCACTGAGTAGCCTGTCCTAATGAATTTACATTAAAGGCGTGAAGTTGTTCTCCCTGTAATATTAAGTAAAAGCTATGACTTTCATCAAACCCCATCAACATCACCTTGAGCAAAGTCAGAGCACCCTGCTGAATTTAAAGCACCGCAAATACAATGCAGATTAAGGCTGGACTCTGCTCTGAAGGTGTGCTTATACTGATCTGTACTATATGCATCAAGGAATTAAAATTAAAAATAAAACCCCGATTCTAACACTGCTCTGCGAAGGGGACCCTCGTTTTGAAGGTGACATGCTGCAGGCACTGCAACCGAAACCAAGACAAAACCCAGCCAGAGGTGACCTGGTCCGAGTCAGAGTGACTAACCGGGTGTTGGATTGCCAGAATATCCACCTGAGGTCTGTCTCAAGGCTGCAGATAAACAGACGAGAGCTACCAAAACAAAAAGCGCACAGCATCCTCCGTCAACCTTGTGAAAGAAGCTGGATGCTGCGCAGCGTTTCTTGGCCGCTGTGAGCTGTCTGAACTTCTCAAGAACCAAGAGAGGTTTAAATGATCCTGACAAACTATTTTATCGCTGCCGTATAAAATACCTTTGGCTGCTGCGCACATAATACAAACGCGGAAGGTGATCAAGGTTTGTATGCATCACCGTCAACGAGAGCAGACCAAAACGCTAACGCTTCTGGTCACGTTTGCAAAATAAAATCTCCTGTTTTGTTTTGTTTGGGTTTGTTTGCGTTGAGAGTGCGGAGACAATAAAACAGCAAATTAATCCTTTTATCAGCAAGTAGAAACTGTCGAAGGTGAGCTTCTTCTATTGAAAAACACAAATGTATTAGAGACTCACAATTTATACATTGATCTTTAAGAATCTGAATATTTCAGTCGAACTCTAGTCGCATTTATTTCGAAAGAAAAGCCAACACACTTCCGCTTTGACTCAACGAACTTCAGCTAGCTTACCTAAAAGAAGCTAATAGCTAGCCAGCGAGCTTCTTGGTGGGATTTTATAAAAGGACATGCGGATAAAACCCGTTCTAATCACCTGACAGCAAGTAAAGCCTCACCCACAGCCTCACGGCTCTCCTCATGCCATGGTACACGTATTGACACGATAACAGTTTAGGCTTATGTGTGATCCTGGACGTACCTTTTTCAGCTGTGCTCCGCCGCTGTCGCTAGTGAACTTTCATTTCCGCCTCAGTGACAGTATCACGTGACCTAGCGTTCTCATTGCACAAAGGATTGTGGGTCGTAAACAATAATAAACAGCCCACACAATTACCTTAAATCACCTTTAATAAATATATATATATATATATATATATATATATATATATATATATATATATATATATATATACACACACATACATACGGCCTCTTGCTTTCTTACAAACCATGAAAAAATATTAAAATATGGAATGAGGAAAGCATGCCCCTACTTTTTAACAAATCTGTGTATCTCTATGTAGTTTATATCTTTATCTAAGCTCTGAATGATCCCTGGTTTGATCCCAGGAGGAGACACAAAACCCTAATCCTACTGCAAAAGTATGAAGTTTGTTCGAGGTCAAATGCTTAGCCAACCTTTGTACTCATGTCCCCCACGGCCTAGTATGTTGTTATGAAGTTTGAAGACGATCCTTAACAAATTGTGGGTAATATAAAGCTTTTAGTACTTTCTACATTTGGTGGGTCCTTGACCATGACCCGATTTTTTACCAAAATTAAATCAGCTTCAGCTGTTTTTGGCATCTACCGTCTCCCAAAATTGAAAACAATATCTTGAAAGTGCATGAAAAGTTATAAGTTTGAAAATTTTATTTTCTGTACATTACCCCAACTCCCACTCTCCTCCTTCGACTGTAAATATCCTGATTGATTAACAAACTGTTTAAACCTGTACTGTTTAAGTTTGCACTTTGAGTCCACCTGCTTTCACTTGCATTCATGACAGATGGTAAGTGCATTTGAAAGGTCTTGAGAACCAGCTAACGGGAGCAGTACGTATCTGCGCAAGTGGGAATTTGTAACTGTGTCCTCCAGCAGCAGGCAGCAAGTGAGCAGGTGATTTTAGTGTTGAACAGGCTGTATTCCTATCAGATGGCAAATGTTAATCCACAAAAGAACCTCCAGAGAAGAGGAACCTGATGGGAATGTTGGAATATGCATCTAGGATCTACGACAAGGAGAGGAGATGAGGCTAAGTAACTCAGATGGCTTTATTTGAAAACAATAGCCTGAACAAGTAACGATCAGAGGGGTATACTACAAACAAAATTCAACAGCGCCAGTCTTTCTTTGTGTTAGCTGCCTTGACAAAACCTAAAACCTCAGTCGGAGATAACAAGTAACAACTTTCTGTTGAACTTCGCTTTCTGCTTCAGATTCTGTGCACACTCATATAAGAAGAGGCAGTCTGCGGTTCTTGTGATTCGGTGAACTTATATAAATGAAGGCCTCTTAATCACACGTTGACGTGGCGGCGTCCTAGCAGCAACTTTGATTACAGCAGGAATGGTCACATCAGGAAGAGCTTTACAAATTGATTGCAGCTGAGTCACCACCTCACTTTGCTGTCCACATTCAGAAAGCACGAATGTACAAATTTAAATAAAGAAACCTTAAACAGTCATTTATTCCAATAATATCAGCATGATGTATATGCATAGTAGCATAACTCAGGTTTGGTGTACACAGAATAATATGTATTGCTGAAGTGAAACATCAGGCATGTGCAGCTTTGCCTCACGGATGAATTCTCAGCCCAGTCATAGGAATATCTGCTAGACTGCCTTCACTCAGTCAGTGAAGCTGCAGGAAAACTCTCCGCTCTGATGTTGGTGGTGACTGTGACGGGCGATGCTGACGGTTAACGCGGAGGCTGACGTAGTGGTCGTGAAAGTAAGTGGCCACAGCTAGAGGAGGGCCCAGCAGCAGGAACAGCCACACTAAACCGTTGCCATAGTTTCCCTGGAAATAGTTTCGGAGGAATACTGCGACCAAGAGCTGCAAGAAGAAGACATAGTGTCAGCTCAAGGCACGCCCCGATTATAATAACACAGTGCATTGTGTTAGGTGTGGAAGGCCAAAAACAATAAAGTGGATCAGGTTTAATTATTAGGACTAAGATTTCAGTGTGTAATCTATGTCTCCATTTAAAGCCTTTTTGCATTTGTTAACACTGTTAAATAAAAGAGCATAAAATTCATCCATGAATGATAAAGTTGGATCCCCATACAGCAGCAGCTGCCACCAGTGCAATAATCTCACCTCAAACACCATCATGAGAAAGATCCACAGACGGCAGCTATGCAGTGGCAGAGCAATCATATACTGTGTAGGAGAGAGAAGAGAACCATCACGGCTCATTAGTACTGGTGTTTATCCAGAGGTACCAGCTTAATTTTATTGTATAGAAGTGGGCTGCAATTCAATCCTAATCTCTAATCTCTTTTCCTTTTCCCCAGTGGGAGAAAAAAATCACGAAGTCAAGAAAAAATGTGAAGTCTGACTCAACTCCAGAAACCAAACTACCTAATAAAGCGACGGTGGATGTCACTGACGTGGGTCAGCTGTGGTGAAACTACAATGTCCCACTGATGGACTACAAAGACTCATCTCACACTGACTGCTCTGTTTCATGCAGCTTGTAGGTTATAAACAAGGTCATAAATCTCACTTAATTACCAGACAGAGGAACAGAGGAATAAAGATATATAATAATATACAATAAGAATGGTAGGATACAGTAATTTACAGTAGTATACAATAGCATAATGCAAATATAATATCAAACAATTCAAACAAAGTGACGATATAACTATTCCAGTAAAATAAATAACATAACAATCAGTGCAGGTGCTTATAAAAAAAGTGACATAGTATTGTGCAATGAATAAAAAGAGAGTAGCAGCGTATGATGGGGGAATGAAACAAACATTCAATAACATACTGTTAAGTAATATTGCACAATCTGAATGAGAATAAAATAACATTGATATTAATCTTAAGAAATGTCACCCGTTTAAAAAAACGTCTTTCAGCGTCTGTCACTGATGTAAAGTCAGTTCATAAGAATCCTAAAGGCCAGAAATAGTTTTACAGCGAAAACTTAACCAAAGTGTGAAAACAGATATTTTTAAATCTGAAAACACGAGTTCAGAGAGTCTAAAATAGTTCCACTTTTACTTTTAGCTTCACATGGGACACAAACCAAAGTTTCTGGGGCTAAAGATCAATGTTTGGTCCTTGAAAGGTCACCTGCAATCTTGGAGTATATGAGATCGTTCAGAGGTAACTTCTGGGTCTGAAATGGGAAGAAATGCAGAAGTTCCTTAAACCTGCATTCTGGTTAATGACCAGCAGGGTTGGCCCTTGGATGTTGATTCACCTTTACAGTGTCTCTGGCCAGTTCTGCACAAACTTAGTCTGAACGTTATTAGATTGCTGTAACTTATGCTGGATTCCCCATTTATTAAATGCTAGATTTGTGGGACTAAATTCAATAAAGCCAAGGCCCTGACATTCAAGCCTTACACTCTATAGTTGCAACGATGGTCCTCTAGCACCTTAAATATGATACTGTAGACCAGTAAGGTAAGAATCAGATACTGCCATAAGCAAGGGTGCAATGTATCCTGTGCCAAAGGAGATAAGGAAGCATTGATAGTTCCTTTCCAAAGATGCCAGAAGAGTGGACTGTACCTCACAAAGCGCAGCAGACATCAGGAAAACCAGCAACTCGGCATGTGATGGGGAAACATTCCTCTCCACCAGACGAGTGTAAATGTGTCTTTTTATGCATAAAAAGAAAAACATGTAAGCAAAAAAAACAACCCATGTCAAACATTCAAGCACACAGACCAAAAAATGTTGATAATACCTGTGACACCACCTCTGAAAGGGAATATTCCAGTTCTTCCAGAAAGCAATCAAAGTTGTAGCGTTCCTGTAGATAAAATATAAACTGCATTAATTCTGAGATGCAAAATTAACACAAATTACAGTAAATGTTCTGTACAACTGACCACCAGTCTCCATAAAAATGGCGATCACCAAAGCGCAGCAGTTCTGCACAGAAGTTCAGGTATGAATGAGTCAAAAAGAAGAAGAGGAGCCACAGGAAGTGGGTCGGTGCCTGACAAGAAAGTATGTGTTAGCAATGCCAATATGCCACACATACAAACTCTTATCTCTAAGTATCATGGACCAAGGACAAAAGAAATCACTAACCACCAGCCCCACGAGGTGCTCCACCCTCGTAGTGATGGCCATGCTCTGGATAAAAGTATACAAATAGAAAGAAGGGTGGATTCAGCAAGGGTGGGAGCTGCCCTTGTTTTAATGAGCACACTTCAGAAGATCATGTTTCACTTACAGAGAATGAGATTTCTGATCTCTGGAAGATGGGTTCAATCCACTAGAATGAAACAAAGGATTCTAGAATCATGAAATTCAACTTGGTTCTTGAAGATAATAGTCATCGATTTCCATGACTCCCTACTCCATGAAATACCAGCTGAAGATTTTACCCATTTATAGACAGGACATTAAAATCACTGAGAGGTGAATCAAATGCACTGAAGTCACTTTGATTCAAATAATGCTGCAATAATGGCACGGCATGTCCAACCACACCAATGAGGAACGGGTTGAGGAACACGATAAAGAGTCATGACGCAGTTTTCTAAACTCCCGAGGTCATAGCCCAGTGCCTGCTTGACGCCCTGTGCACAAAGGCTCGTGAGTCCAACGAGTGGACTGTAAATGCTACAGTGATCAATGCTCTTCATGTGTGCATTTTTATGTACGTGTTGAGAGGTTATAGCCAGGAAATAACTTCTTGGTGTTATACTAAAGTTTTAGGACACATAACAAAACATGTATCAGCAGAGTACATTCAATCGCATCTGTCATCAACAGTGCTGCTCCTAATTCACACATACCCCCCAAATCAACCTCCAGAGTGAAACATGCTCTCACAGCCGTGCAGTGCCAGACTCCCTGAAAGGTCTGCACATAAATGCAGTGATACTAAGCTACTGTATAACAAAGAAAGGACTTCAGCGATCTGCTGTACCTGCTGCACAATGCCAACCATGATCTGGACAACCACCACCTAAAAACAGAAAATTATGTTTAATTATCCCATGTAGTGTGTGCACAATAATTTTACATTTTGTTGAAAAAAAAAATACATTAAAAAAAAAGACAAATATTCAACACATGTGATTTAATGTGGCATACAAAACAAATCTTAGATGTCGGGACTTTAAAATGTAGTAGCTAAGTCCTTACGTTTCAAATTCTCTCCAACAATAGAGAATTTAACAGGAAAAAAGACAGAGGAGACAGGAACAAGGAGCAGCAGAGACTACAATACAATCAAATGAAAAAGAAATAACGAAACAACAAGGATTTATATCAGGAGCAGTCACACTGACATTAGCGGGGACAGAAAATCCCCTGTGCAGTGTCAAAGTATTACAAATACAATACTTCTGGTTAAAGGTTCAAAGATAATCTGATTAAAGGGCCTGAAGCTATCCAAGAAAAAGGTTTGTTAGCGCTCGTTTTGTTACCATGCCAACAGAGGATGAAGAACGCCACGGAGCGCTCAAGTCTAGACTTGTAAAGAGAAAACTGAGTCATCCATATCAGCGCTATTAATCCTTTTTACTTTTTCTATTCTCCTCTCTCATAAAACAATACTGTGTAAAAATAATGACACCAGTGTTCAGCTCACCATTTCTATCAGTCTGTGAAGCAGCTTATTAATGCGGACGTTAGGACAGCAGGGGAAGCCCCTCTGGAAGCAGAGAGTGGGGGCGAGGAGGAAATAATAGAGCTCTGAGAAAATAAAGACAGAGTTAAAAATGCTGAAACATCACTTTGAGTCACTATAAAGAAATGAAGCAGCTGTTACCTCTGAATGTCAGATGCTCATTGTGGTGTTTCTGTGATGCAGGTCCATTCTGATCTTTCTCTAAAAATAAAACAGAAGCAAAAAGCTGCAGCAGCTGCTGTTCTTCTGAGATGGGGTCAATGAAAAGTTTAGAGTTGCACAGATACCTAAATGAGCCAGACGATACCAACGATTTGTTTCCTGGTAGGAATAAAGCTTCATCCCCAGAATAGTGAAGAACAAGAGAGAGAAAAATGCTCCACCTGGTGGACAAAGCATAAACGTGCTTTTCAGACAATGAGACACATACACATGGAAGTCCTGGAGTCCAACAAATCTGCAGTACCAGTGCGATGCTGTCACGTCATCCCCTCCCCTCACCCAAACCGGTCACGGCAGGTTTGGTTCTGCCACAGGTCTCCTTCCTAATAAAGGGAGGTTTTCCTTCCCACTGTTGCCAAAGCACTTGGTCATAGAGTGGTCAAATGATTGTTGGGGTTTTCTCTGTTTTATTTGTATTTTTGTGTGGCTTATAAAGTGCTTTGAGGCAACTGTTTTGATTTTGTGCTATATAAATAAAACTGAATTGGATTAAACTGAATGTCAACATGGATCAAAATCTGACCTGAATCTGTTTCCTGGTATACTTAATGAAGTGGCCAATGACTGTATTTTATAAGGGGACTCAAATCTATCGGTCTGGATTACAGTAAATATGATGCAGGTTTGAAGTTACCTGTTGACATTGCAGGCTCGTGTACGATGACAGCAGGAGGAAATAGAACCAGCAGCCCCAGATTAGTAAGGTGTAAACGATGTGCGTTGGAGAGAGACAGCATTGCCTGACAAACAAAGATTTGTTATTTTTTCTGTGTCAAAAAGTCCCTCTCTGGAAAGATACATCCTTTCACATCTAAAAGAGAAAATAATAAGCTCTCACCTTTTCCTGGGACCTCTCCAGAAGCAAAGCTATCAGAGCAAACGTGTTGGCAGCTGGGAAAATAAGAAATTTATTCATTCACAACAACAAGTGTGCTGCTGGAGACACCTATTCTCTCTACTCTAAAGTAATCCTGTATCATTCATGATGTGTTGTTTCTCTGCCACAGTCCTACGGATACCAATGGTTCTCACCCAGAATGAGGATGACTGACGGCCAGTTGCAGTTGTCCTCAATCAGATGTCCCAAAACCTTTTTGACATCTATCAAAAATCCATGTCTGTTATGAAGAGGAAAAAAGTAAGCTTTAGTAAACAGTAAACAGAGAGCAGGGATGTATTTAAACTGGAAAAAATACTGTAATGAATAGAAATTCTTGGTTTTTAGACCAAGAGGTTTTAATATATTCATGTGACACATTCAGTGTGGCGTTTCTCCTCACAAATTATCATCCAAAAGTCTTCTAGATTCAGAGTGTGTTGTGCTGTTGTGAAGCGCAGTGCTCGTGCTTTTCTTCCACTAAATGTGCCCGCAGAGTCCCAGCATATAGATTTTACACTGGAGTAAAGCATGGGAGGTTTACTAAACATGAAACTTTAATGGTTTACAAAAAAGCAAGTGTGTTTGTAGGTGAAGGGTCTGTTTTATAGATGGATGTGAAGTCCACCAAATCTGAAAATTCAAACCAAAAAAAGGACAGAAGCCATTTATACTCACTGTATGAAATTCTCCAAGAACAGGTGAGCATGAGTCAGGACCTTAAAAATCAGAATGACAGCGTTTTTATAACTCAACAAAATCTTAAATGTATTTCCACAAATGATAAGGCAGGGCTGAGAAACTAACCAGCAGGATGATGATCCAGTTGAGGATGCCTCTGTATCCGGTAAAGCTGCTGTTAGAGCTCAGCAGAGAGTCTTGGATGCTGTGGCAGCTGCACAAAAACACATTTTCATCTTCATCAGGCTTATTTTTTTTTGTTTTTTCCTGTAAATATTATCCTGTCAGCTCTAATATGACTGCATCGCAAAAACATTCCAGGTCTCCTCCAGTGGTAAACAAATGGAAAACCACTCAGCTGATGGTTTTTTGTTGGTTATACGAGGCCCTGGGATATAAAGAAACTAAACATGTCTACATCTGATTGTGTGTTTAATATATTTTAGCCCAAATTCAGAGGATTTTAAATTAAAAGTGACACTCAAGAGTCTGAAGATGGTTTACTATTCATTAACTGTTAATTTTGTAATGATGGTGCTGAATAAGTATTTAACGGGATGATCTCTGTGTAGTTATGAAACAGGGTGTTTTGGCTCTACAATGGGCCACAAAGACCACACGGTACGAAAACACAATGTCAGAGAGGTCGGTGTAGTTGTTATCCACCACCAAAGTTCAAGGATTCAAGGATGCCAGTGTTCACATTTTGGACCAAGAAGACAGATGGTTCAACCGATCACCTTCTTTTGAAGCTTTTAAGACGTAGGAGAGGGTTTTTGAAGCTGTGTGTGAGATTAGAGCTTCAGAATTAGATGGCCACGCCTGCTGTAACGTGTGTCGTTACTTGTTCACCAAGATGTCAAGTATTATTCCTCATCTACGTTTCACGCTATCCTCCTGAACAGTTATTTCTGCACAATGACAGCCAGGTCTGATGGGTTCTGTGAGTTTTTATTATATGATGCCTTACACGTATATAAATCAATGCATTCATAATTTTTTATTTGTGCTTTTTATTATTTGAGTAAAATATGTGAACATTTCATCTGCTGGTGAGGTCATACATCTGCCACATGGAGACACGAGGAAAGCAGCAGAGAGCTTACCAGAGCAAAGATGCGTAGGGGTGTTCTTCTTCACTGGTTAGATCAAATGTAGAAAAGGAAGTGCTATCACAGAGGCTTATACCGTCTTCTTCAACTGAGGAGGAGGAGAACCTCTTCCTCATCGAAGCCATCTTTAACTCCAAGGATCAGTCCACCGAGGTGGAGGTTACAGATGTTTGAGTCCACTTTAAGAGTCAGAAAACAGATTTATTTAACTCTCACAAATAACATTCTCTTATTAGATATTTGATTTGAAATATTAAGATGATCAAAGAATAAACATAAATATTACATAGTGTCATATTTTTATCTGAATTTCATGCAAGAAATAAAGTGTAGACCAAACTCCGCAAATTCCTATTTACATACACTGCTTAAATAATATCAAAGTTTCTGTTCTATTCTATCCTAAAACTGGGCTCTGAGGAGGTCAGCTGATATTGTTCCAATGGGTGCTTTTTATATCCAGTTATGCTTTCCTGCATTTGCAGTGTGTTTGGGATCACTGTCATGCTAAAAAATAAAAACCTTTCCCAATCAGATGTTTTCCAGATGGTATTCCATGGTGGATTTTAATGTAATTGTACATTTCTGCATTTCCATCAGTTTTCTCCAACACGACTGGCTGAAATGGAGCTCAAACCACGACAGAGCCTCCACGTGCTTTACAGATGGCTGTACACACTCACTGTCGGGCTTCTATTTTGAACTCTTCTATATACAAAAATTTCAGATTTCCTGTTTCCCTTCATTGAGACAGGATGTCCCTTAACACCTACCCATCCTGTGCAGTTTCCTCAAAGTTTTTGAATTCTGACACAAGATTGACTCCAGAATTTTGCACAGTTGTTTACTGTACTTGTTAAAATTTTCTGCAATGATTTATTGTCTTTCTAATCTTTGCCATGTTGAGACAATGAGGCTGTAGGTTGTGCAGAAAATACGAGCGCATCATCAGATCATTTAAATGCAAACTGCATCTTAGAAAATAATTCCAACCAAATCGCTGTAGTGGATTACCACTTTGGTGTTTTATCGCTTGTATACGCGGGTGAACATTAAGTAAGATAAAGTTTTAGCCTTTACCCGAGCTTTAAGTTCAATTTGTGAAAATTCGGCAAGCATACAAATTATTATTAAGCCATTTAGTTCATGAGAAATTAGACTTTAGATGTCCTTTCTACCTCAAACGACCCGTTGTCGCAGGCATCTTATGCTTAAAAGCCAAGAGGTTACATTTTTGTGTTGCTGCTTGTCGATAAAATGTACGCCGAATGAAATAGCTGCCCGAAATACATTAGTCAGTCTAACCAACTCGTTTTACAACCACTGTAACACCGGGTGCTAACAAGTCAAACTTTTAATTTCCGCATTTCCTAAAGAAGCTCGGTGTGACCTTCTGAAGCGAAAGAAAAACGTCCTACCGCGTCATCCTCCGCGTGCAGCATCCTTCTAACCAGGTCCACATCTCAGAGCATCCGCCGCCTGTCAGCTGACTGCCCGACACAGAGCTTCTCTGACCTCTGAGCCCTCTGAGGACTGAGGAGGTGCTATTCGGTGTGAAGCCACGAGATCCTTTTATTGTGAAACATTCAAAATAAAAGCCCACTTAAAGTAAAAAAGACTTTAATTTCTGAGATGCCAAAATAAAGGCCTGTAGTCTGATTGATTAATTGTCATTTTGGTGCCTTATACGGAAGCCCGTGGTTTATATACATATGTCATTTATTGTTCCTCCAGTATCCAATTCATATTTTGCACACAGTAAATGTCACAACAGCAGATTTAAAGTATTAATAGAGTCATAAGATAAACATTTTACATAAAACAATGTTTACAGAAATTGTTACACTTTAAAACATTCATTTCTTTTGTACCATAAAGGGATTGTAAACAAACGATTAACTTTGTGCATAAAAATCAAAGAGTTGTCTGGGAATAAAGCCTTCAACTGATTTAAGTTTAAAGGTGTAAAATAAAAAGCAGGGAAATAGAAAGCAGGGTTCCCAAATGAGTTTTCTCCCAAATGACTTGAAGAAAACTCCTGCCAACCAAACATTACTATGTTTTAAGTCAGATAACTAAATGTGTAACTGTTAATACTGAAACTGCTCATTTCGATCATTACTGAGGAAATAATTGATGCAATTTATATGAAAAAAGTTATACGTTTTTCCCTTCATCCACTCAGCACCCAAAGAACTGTACGCCTTCACTTATATATTCCGACTCTTTAGACCTAATTAATTACATTTAACCTTGATTAAATATATCATTTTTAAAAACAGCTAAATCTGGTATTAAAACCACATATTTATTCACAGGCTGCAGATGCAGGTTAGTTATCACAAGCCCAGAAAAACTGAAATAAGGACACTTCATGAAAAAAGATAATTTCCTTTAGAAAATATTTATTTTAAAAAAGGAACATTTAAGGAAAAATAACAGTTTAAAGTGTTACACTGACAGCAAAAAAGATCAATATGCATTTGGCTCAAACTCCAAATTAAGCAATGATCTCGCAAACTCATTGAATTTTACATTTCTAGTGACTGAGACTCAATTTATTTATTATGACCAGAAAACACAACCCACATTTTAATGGATCGGATCTCAGTGATCCTGCCAGCCTGCAGGGAGGACACAGCAAAGCCATTTCTGGATGTGAAGATCAAGCTGGTGTGGAGGAAGGTCCTTTAGTTGATGATCAGTACGTCGTTCTGGATCTCGTGGCTCAGCTGGGTTTGGAGGTCACTCAGCTTCTTCTTCAGGACAGCCAGCGCTGACATGACAATGGTCTCTGGCCGCAGGGAGCCGCATGACTCCACGTTGTAATAGAACCTGTGCAGGGAGAAATGTGAGCCGAGCAAAGTTTCCTTATAAAAGTCAAAGTCATTCAACTTCAGAATTTAGTCTGAAACTTCCTGGATTGCATTCAGAGCCTAAAACACATGCACGGTACTGAACGTGCTAATCTTTGCTTGTGTCTGGAGTTCATTTCAAGCTCGTTTTGGTAGACCAAGCAAAAATAAGAGAAGGTAAGCGATCACAGCCATCTCATGCTTCTTTATTGACAGTAGATTCTGGCCATCTCCAAAAGCCTGTGTATTGATGTCTTTGTGAATATTTAGGGTGGAAATATGCAACACTCCTCATAGGCTTGCCTCAGGACATTTTCATGCAGTGGGAAACACTAGTGTGAATGTTCGATTCAAATAATTCAGGAAACTTGTTTGGTTTCAGGGATCAAAACAGACCTAGATCCTTCTGGCTAAGGTCAGGTAATGCAAATCCCAGTGGGCAGAATAATAAAGATGAGAAAACATCATGAAGCTCTTTGCTAACCGTTCCGGTTTCCCGTTGGGGTCGTAAGGGGCCTGAAACTCGTCCTCTTCGATCTCTGAGTACTCGCTCTTCGGCCTGGGAATCAGTGCATTGGGTGTCAGTATTTTTATGATAATTATTCGTTAACAATGTAGTTTTTAGATGAGCCAAACTGGGAGGAAAACCTACCACTCCTCGGGTCGTGGATAAACTGTGTGTCTCAGTGCATTGTCGGGGTCATACTCGAAGGAGACCCCCGCTGTTGGGTTCCACTTGGCGTGTTCCTTCCCAAAACCTTTCTTAGCGTAAGCTCTGAGCCGAAGTTCCTGACCTTTACGGAGCTTCACCAGCAAAATGTCTGCGTGGTATCAGAGCACAAGAAACATTTATGAAGTGATGTGAAAACAGACACCAGGCAGAGACCTCAGCAGTCGGTATGTACTCGTGAATACAGCTTTACCATCTTGCTCGACGTAGTCGTTGGGATCGTTGTCTCGACTCCTGGAAGTCACCTAGAAAACCACAATGCACCACAGTCAACTTCACCTCTGCTTCCAGTCAACTAACGATCCTAGAAAAAGGAGAAAAGCCTCACCGGGATGACTCTGGGGTTGTTAGACAACAGGTCACGCGAGGTCACGTGACGCGTCTGGTCCTCGTTACATCGAACATCCAGGGTGAGCTCCACAGAGCACTCCTGACAGAAATCCTCACAGGTGCAGTCCTGCAGGAGAATTTGACGTTGTGGTGTTAAAGCCGGCGCCCGCATTCAAAAGTTAGGAAGCTCTTGGCTTTGTTCACAATCTGATATCATGTATCGTTCACACCAGGGAACCATCAGGTTAATGACCAGTCTGAGTCTGTTTATGTTGTCACAGGCAGCTGACAAATCGTGTGTAGAAACCACAAATGTCTGAAAATTAGGAACAGCATCTCTGAGTCTCACGAGCAGGAATGGCACTCTAATCTGGCAGGAGGAGTTTTTGCAGGAAACAAGAGAGAGGTGTCCCCTGAACAGCAAGCGTGGCAACACAGATAAGCTTTTAAAAATACGTTGGAGAAACAAGGATAAATTGAAACTGTGGTTGGCTGTGCTACAAATGTCTGCTTACCCTGGAATACTGCATTTTGTCCACGATGTCGTCGCTGGTGAGTGGTATGAGCCCTGAAGATACAGGAAACACTCAGGTTTTTACAGCAGCCTTCTTTGATCTCTCGCACTACCACAGGTATTACACACGCTCTCATACATACCCACTCTGTGGGCGATAAACTCATCGTGCAGTACAGACGAATTGGCGTCGATCTGGATCCAGTCGATGGCTGGAAATGAAGCAGTGCAGTGCAAGTCAGTCATTTAGGCTTGCAGAGGTGGGTTTGATACTGAACGCTTTCCCCAGAGTTCTGGTGAAGCTACACAACTTTATCCAACACAATATCCGTTTTGTTTTGCTCTCCATATCATAACAGCAGCTGAGACTTGACTGCTTACTTATATAACTGTACAGAGGACCCCACCAGAACTTGGCGATGTTAAGCAACGACACACACACACACACACACACAAAGCTACTGTACCTATTGTAGGAACCTCCGACATAAAGACACGGCGGAGGGAGTTTGCAACCCTGAAAAAGAGAAGAAGAAAAAAAATGGTTTCAGATGAATAACACACCGTTAAAGTCCCCCTTAAACTCCAGACTGTGCTTTCAGGTTTTTATGTGTGCTTCATAGAACGAATTCTAATAGTCCAAGATCACCTGAAATCTGCAACTGAGAGGGCTGAATTATACAAACATTTAAAAGGGCTTCCAGTGACGAACGATGAACGATGATTAATAAGTCAACTAGCAAAATACCAAACTATTACTGATGCTGATTACTGATCAAAGTTTTGTTTTTTGTTTTTAATCAAAGAGGCATTCCTTAGTCATAACATCAGCAAACTCTGTATTTTCAGATTTTGGACTGTTCAGACATTAAAAAAAATTGCACTCCACATTTTCACGTTGTGATGTCACAGAGGCGTTAAGATTTTTATCTGGAATGACTATAATGGACAAGCTTAGAATTGATGGATAGCTAGATTTGAATTATGAGGGACATTGAAGACTGAGTAATATGGAGACAAAGTTAGAGAGGGAAAGCTGATCTGCTGTGGCCAAACAGTCACTGAAGTGAGAAAATAATCAGGAGACTAATTAAAGAAAGGAAATATTCTTCTAGCGAGAAACAGCTGATTTTTTTTATGATTGATTGCCTAATCAATGAAATGTTTCTTTTAATTATCAGACAAAACACATTTTACAGAATTGCAAGACAAAGAAAACTACATTTTAAGATAGTGTCCAATGAAGTTTCCTCAGCTTTAATTGGTGTGTTGTTAGACTGCCAGTTAAACCTGGTAATCTAACAAAGGAAAGGCAGGAAAATACTTTAATCTTTAGGAATTTTCATTTCCTTATTTAAAAAAAAAAAAAGATTAGAGAAAAATGTACATTTTAATCAACGCTGGAAAATATAAAAAACTAATGGAATAAATGTTACTGTGCAGTAAACTAGCCCATTTGACTTCTACTTATATTTCTTTATTTTTACAGCCTATGTATTTACTTATTGGTTATTTGTATATGAAACTTTGTCCTAAATGGTAATTCATTCACAGTAGACTAAAGACCCATTTAAAAACATGACCTAACTAATGTGAAGCACCTGCGTTTACTTCCACATTCAGCTAGCTTAACATACACTTAAATAATAATTATATTGTATATTAAATATTAGTTATACGAGTTAAACGAAAGCAGCTTTACACTGTTACTCGGCGTGTGTTTTGGTGCTGAGAATAATGGCCGCCCTCGTCCTCCTCACACACTGCACAAGGGAAAATATACTCGTACTTACGCCAAATCCGTGTTTTCGATGACAAACTTGACATTTTCATCTGTCAGCTCTGTGATCTTTACCGTTGGCTGGTTAGCATACGGCATTACTGAAGCTAAATGAAGCTAAACTAGACGTTTCACTATCAACACACTTCACACTACCGCTGCTTCTGCATGAAGACCTCCACGGAAATATTTACGAGGCGCTGATTGGCCTCGAGATGTAAACGCGTACAGTGATTGGGTCAAAAGAGGCTCGAAGGCGGGTCTTCTTTTAACCACCGGGTTACAGACGACGGTAGCTCCCTTTTCAAA